AGTTTTTTTTATTTTTCCTTTTTTTTCTTTTTTTTTTCTTTTTTTTTCCTACACCTTACTCACGTTTCATTGTGTCGTTTTTATCGTCTTTTGTGTCCCCGCCTTGTCTAAGTTTTATGTATTTCTTGTGTTTGTGTTTATTTTGTGTTCGTTTAATTATTATTATTATCATTATTATTATTAGTGGTGGTAATGGGTATCTTGGTATCATTATTATTTTTGTTGTCGTTGTTGTTGTTGTTATTGTTGTTTTTGTTGTTGTTGTTATTATTATAGTAAGATAATATTTTGTTCCTAGTCATTATTTTGTGTCACGTTTGGGCCAGTATCCAGCAGGGACCGTCGCCCTCTTCCGCCGGCCGCTGTAACGAATACGTTGTCGGATATCGTTACGTCATCACTACCGCGTTCTCGACCCGACTGGCAGTAAGGAAGCGTAACGGAGAAATGGATTTTTTCTCCCCCCCCTCCCCCCCATCTCTTTTCCATCCCCTTGTTTTAGTTCTCCCTTCCTCCTTCCTCCCTTCTCTTTTTTCCTACCATTTCCCTCTCATTTCCTCTCTCCTCCACCTCCTTTCCTCCTCGTTTTTTCCTCCCTTTCCCTTATTTCTCTCTTCCTTCTTTTCCCGTTCCCTCTTCCTCCCTTCCATTATTCCTCCCTTCCTTTTTTTTCCCTTCCCTCACCCTCCCTTCCTTAATTCCTACCTACCTTCTTTTTCCGTTCCTTCTTCCTCCCTTCCCTTATTCTTCCCTTCCCTCTTTTTCCGTTCCCTCTTCCTCCCTTCCTCTTTTTCCGTTCCCTCTTCCTCCCTTCCCTTATTCCTCCCTTCCTTCTTTTTTCCATTCCTTCTTCCTCCTTCCCTTATTCTTCCCTTCCTTCTTTTCCGTTCCCTCTTCCTCCCTTCCCTTATTCCTCCCTTCCTTCTTTTTCCGTTCCCTCTTCCTCCCTTCCCTTATTCCTCCCTTCCTTCTTTTTCCGTTCCCTCTTCCTCCCTTCCCTTATTCCTCCCTTCCTTCTTTTTTCCGTTCCCTCTTCCTCCCTTCCCTTATTCTTCCCTTCCTTCTTTTTCCGTTCCCTCTTCCTCCCTTCCTCATTCTTCCCTTCCTTCTTTTTCGTTCCCTCTTCCTCCCTTCCCTTATTCCTCCTTCCTTCTTTTTCCGTACCTTCTTCCTCCCTTCCCTTATTCCTCCCTTCCTTCTTTTTCCGTACCTTCTTCCTCCCTTCCCTTATTCCTCCCTTCCTTCTTTTTTCCGTTCCCTCTTCCTCCCCTCCCTTATTCCTCCCTTCCTTCTTTTTTCCGTTCCCTCTTCCTCCCTTCCCTCCCCCTTCCCCCCCTCCCCCATCCCCCTTCCCTTTTGTAGGAATTGTTAACGTTATCTTTGTGTCCGTTTGTGATATGATATAATAAGGTGAGCGTGGGAATATCCCCCCCCCTCTCCCCCTTTTGTCTGTTGGAAGGTAGGTGGGGGGGGGAGGGGAGGCTGGAGGGTTTTAGAGACTGGTCATTGCATCTACGGGTGGCCCTCTTTTCATTTTGATGGGTCCTTTCTCTCTCTCTCTTTCTCTCTCAATCTCTCTTTCTCTCGTTCCCTCTCTCTTTCTCTCTCTTTCTTTTTCTTTCTCTCTCATTCTGTCTCATTTTCTCTCTTTTATTCTCTCTCTCATACTCTCTCTCTCTCATACTCTCTCTCTCTCTCTCTCTCTCTCTCTCTCTCTCTCTCCTCTCTCTCTCTCTCTCTCGTTTCTCTCTCTCTCTCGTCCTCTCTCTCTCTCCTCTCTCTCCTCTCTCTCTCTCTCTCTCTCTCTCTCTCTCTCTCTCTCTCTCTCTCTCTCTCTCTCTCTCTCTTTCATTTTTTCTCGGGTTAGATAATAGGGGAATGTGTTTAATGTAATGCGTGTGGCTCCATCATTGCCAAGGGCGAACAATGGGCTATTTTCCGTGGTTCTCTTCTGTCTTTTATTGGTGTGTGTCTGGTCTCCTTCGTTGGTCCTTGGCTCTTGTTCTTTGGGTGTTTTGGGGGGTTCTTTTCTTGTTGTTCCTCATCGGTTGAGTTTTCTTTTTTTTCTGTTTTCTTTGCTTTTACGTTTTTAGTTTTACTTTATGTTTTTCCCCCAGCTATCTGTCTTGCCTTCTTTTCTTACCTTTCCTCTCCTCATTTTTTTTTTCTCTCAATCTTTCTCCCTTCTTTTCTCCCTCTTTTCTTTCCTTCCTCTCCTTTTCCTATCCGCCTTCACTTCGTCCTCCTCCTTTCCTCGCTATCGTTTTCTCTCTCCCTCCTCTTCTCTTCCTTTCTGTTTTTCTTTTCTATTTTTTCTGCTCCTAGAATTCCCCCCTTCCCACCACCTCTTCGTCCATCTTCTTCAATCTCTCCTTTCTTCACTCCTCCTCCTTCTATCTTCTTTCTTCACTCCTCCTTCCTTTTCTTCTGTCAAGTCCACAAGGACGTACCAAACTCTCTCTCTCTCTCTCTTTCTCTCTCTCTCTCTCTCTCTCTCTCTCTCTCTCTCTCTCTCTCTCTCTCTCTCTCTCCTCCTCTCTCTCTCCTCTCTCTCTCTCTCTCTTCTCTCTTCTCTCTCTTTCTCTCTTTCTCCTCTTTCTCTCTCTCTCTCTCTCTCTCTCTCTCTCCCCTCTCCCTCTCCCCCCCTCTCCCTCTCTCTCTCTCTCTCTCTCTCTCTCTCTCTCTCTCTCTCTCTCTCTCTCTCTCTCTCTCTCTCTCTCTCTCTCTCTCTCTCTCTCCCTCTCCCTCTCCCTCTCCCTCTCTCTCCCTCTCCCTCTCCCTCTCCCTCCCCCCCCTCTCCCTCCCTCCCTCTCTCTCTCTCTCTCTCGCTCTCTCTCTCTCTCATACATGTGTGGATAGGCATGTAGATTTATAGTTGTTTATACTGATGTGTATGCATTGTGAAATTTGCAATTAACTATAGCGCACAGCAACAGTATTGCATTTTTCTGTTATTTTTATGTGTTAATTAGTCAGCCCTTTACAGCGAACTTGCATTTGTTAATACGGAGTTTAATTATCAATGCTTTTGATTGTCTGATTGTCGACAAAAGAACAACAATAACAAAAAACGGATGAATGGAATTATGTAATGAATAATGGAATAAATGCAAGAAGAAGAAGTAACAGTGGAATAACTTGAAACAAAGACGGGAGAAGAATAAATAGAGGAGCGAAAGCGGAAGAGAGAAGAACAAATAGAGGAACGAGAGCGGAAGAACAGCAGAGAATAGCAGCAGGAGAAGAACAGCTGAGATGATGGCAACAGCAAAGTTAGAAACAACCGAAAGAAAGGAAAAAAATATACAGCAAACCGATGAAGAACAGTTATAAAACATCAGAGGAACGGTAGTAAAAAGACATTTAAAATAGCAACAGAGTAAGAACAGCAGACATAACACTCAGCAGAAGAACGGCCCAGGAAATGAACAAACAGCTGAAGAACAACTAAAAAAACGAAGGGTTGAAATGAACAAACAGCTGAAGAACAACTAAAAAAACGAAGGATTGAAATGAACAAACAGCTGAAGAACAACTAAAAAAAACAACGAAGAATTGAAATGAACAAACAGCTAAAACCGTAAAACCCAAGACCGGTCCGTTTCTCAAGACACACCTGCCTGTCGGTCAGCTAATCTCATCAGCGAGAGCGCGAAAGAACATCTGCCCTTTTCTTCAGCTCTTTTCCAATCCCTGTCTCTCTCTTCCACCCTTTCTACCTCGGTCTTTGTTTTCTTCTTTTACTGTGGTTCCTTTCTTTTAACACCCTGTTTTTTTTGTTGTTTTTATTCTTCATTTCCCATTTCTCTCTTTTTCTCTTTTTCTCTTTTTCTCTTTTTCTCTTACTCTTACTCTTACTCTTACTCTTTCTCTCTCTCTCTCTCTCTCTCTCTCTCTCTCTCTCTCTCTCTCTCTCTCTCTCTCTCTCTCTCTCTCTCTCTCTCTCTTACTCACTCACTCTCTGTCTGTCTGTCTGTCTGTCTGCCTGTCTGTCTGTCTGTCTCTTTCTCACAGACAGACAGACAGAGACAGGCACAGACAAGATAAACAAGACAGACAGACACAAAGCGCCATGACTCGACTCGAATGCTTTGGTCTGACCTTCAGCAAAAAGAGTCTCATACATTAACCTTGTTGCTATTTCCGTGAAGTGTAATTCCCAAGTCGAAAATCACGGCCTCAAAATCCGCTTCTATTGGCTACGAATCGGGGGGAATAAACGAAGAGAAACCATGGCCGTTTGATAAGCTTTTATAATCTCCTGTAAAAAAAAAAAAAAAAAGGGGGAAGGAAAAAAAAAATTGCTTAGGATTGCCGGGTGAAATTTCTAGGAATATGAATGATGATAACCTTACAGAGAACGCAAGTCGTTGTCATGGCAACCCCGAGGGGAGAGACAAAGAGCGGTGTTATTCGCTGGGTTTTCGGTTCGAGTTTTTTTGTTTTTTTTTGAAGGTTTAATTGAGCGGTTCGTTAAACCTCTCAATTCTCCCCTTCTCTCCATTCTTCTTCCTCCCTCCTCCTCTTCCTTTCTTCCTCCTTCCTTCGTGTTCCCCTCCTTCATTTCCTCTACATTTTACCCTCTTCCCCGATCCCTTCTCCCTATCTTCTCCTCTTCCTTATCTTCCTTCCCTAACCACTTCCTTCTTCCATCCCCTCTCCCCCTCTTCTCCCTCCACCCCCTTACCCCATCGTCCTTCTTCTCTTTCCCCAAATTCTCCCTCCCCCCCCTTTATTTCTTCCTCCTCCCTCTTCCTTCCCCTTTAACCTCTTAACTCCACGAATCGCTTGAGCAAAGTGCGAGGACGTTGAGTGGTTATAGATCTTTTGTTTTGGTGTAATCTTTTTGTTCTAATTTCGTCCACGGGAGGCAAAGAAATACGTAAAAATGATCACAGTTTTCGTTATTGTTGTTTGTTGTTGTTGTAGTTTGTTGTTGTTGTTGTTGTTGTTTAATTACAATCTTCACAGTATTCCGTTCATATTTACCTTCTTTATAGCCGTTCATCGTTCCACTGAGAGTTCAGACAAGCAGTGGACGGTAAAATACGTTTCCCTTCGGATAATTGGATAATCTTGTTCTCAAAGTGAGATGCCTGGACCCTTCCCCCCTTCCCCCTCCCCCCCTGTGTAAAAAAAGAAAAATAAGTTGTATTGGAAGTAAATACACATTGTAAAAGGGTGTATTGTTGAGAGCAGATGATCAAGTGCTTGTCTCTGAGATTCTTAGCCTATGACCCTCCCCCTCCCCCCTCCCCCCTCCCTCCCTACTTTCAAAAACGCTTCAAGAAAAGGTGTGTGATTGTAAAGTAATTATAGAACTGATGGATGTTGTTGAGGTTTGTTGTCTTTAGATGGTAATGCGCTACCTGCGGGATGGCTACCTTCCCCCTCCCCCCCCCCGTTTTGATAGATTAGTTCTCGGACACCCCCCCCCCCCCCGCCATCGCCCTCTCTCCCCCTTCACTCCCCCGGACAAAAACACGTCCAAGATAAGTTACAATTGAACTATAAGCGCAACAAAAGGTAAAATATCGTTCCCACTTGATGAAAAAAAGTGCTAAGCGATATGCACGGACCTCCCGTCACTCTCCTCCCCCTTCCCCTGTCCTCTCCCTCCCTTCCTTCTCCCTCTCTCCCTCTCCCTCTCTCCCTCTTCCTCTCCCCCCCTAAGCAAATTGATTATCCATAATTACGGCCTAATTAGATGCCAGGCTCGTGCCGCGTGTCAGAAGTCCCGCCACTGTCGAGCCCGAGCGTTGCGTGGCGGGAAACTTCCGGTCCGGCAGGCTTTTAGGATTATCCGTAACCTCTGTGCCACCACCTGCCACCACCTGCCACCACTTGCCACCACCTGCTCCGCCATCAGCTGGACCTGCCTGCCACCAGCTGCATCGGGGGTATTTGTGTCTCGTTTCCCTCACCTGCATCACCCCCCACCCCCCATGCCTCTTACTATTGCCATGCCTCCCCCCCTCCCCTTCTTCAGATAAGGAGCTTTGAAGGGAGGGGGGGGATAAGGAGGGGATAAAAGGGGGCGAAGCGACAGCCAGATGAAAAGGGAAAGGGAAAGGCAAAGGGCAATTGTAAAGAGAGTTCGTAGAAAGGCTAGCGAAATGAGATGAGAGATGAGCATATCGCTGTCGTAGTCTCTCTGTCTCTCTGTCTGTCTCTGTCTGTCTCTGTCTCTCTGTCTCTCTGTCTCTCTGTCTCTCTCTCTCTCTCTCTCTCTCTCTCTCTCTCTCTCTCTCTCTCTCTCTCTCTCTCTCTCTCTCTCTCTCTCTCTCTCCCCCTCTGTTTCCCTCTCTCTCCCTCTCTCTCCCTCTCTCTCCCTCTCTCTCCCTCTCTCTCCCTCTCTCTCTCTCTCTCTCTCTCTCTCTCTCTCTCTCTCTCTCTCTCTCTCTCTCTCTCTCTCTCTCTCTCTCTCTCTCTCTCTCTCTCTGTCCTTCTTTCTGTCTCTGTCTCTGTCTCTGTCTCTCCCTCTCTCTGCCTCTGTCTGTCTGTCTGTCTCTCTCTCTCTCTCTCTCTCTCTCTCTCTCTCTCTCTCTCTCTCTCTCTCTCTCTCTCTCTCTCTCTCTCTCTCTCTCTCTCTCTCACTCTCTCTCTCTCTCTCTCTCTCTCTCTCTCTCTCTCTCTCTCTCTCTCTCTCTCTCTCTCTCTCTGTCCTTCTTTCTGTCTCTGTCTCTGTCTCTGTCTCTCCCTCTCTCTGCCTCTGTCTCTCTCTCTCTCTCTCTCTCTCTCTCTCTCTCTCTCTCTCTCTCTCTCTCTCTCTCTCTCTCTCTCTCTCTCTCTCTCTCTCTCTCTTTCTCTTTCTCTGTCTGTCTGTCTATCACTCTCTTTCTCTTTTTCTTTATCTTTCTCCCTCTCTCTTTTTCTCTCTCTCCACGATTTACTTAATTGGATTACATGTCCCCTTCGTGTGCTTGTTTGCCCTTCCCTTCTGTTTCCCTTGCCCTAACCTCTTACCTTAATCCTCACTTACCTCATTCTTCCCCTTCTTCTACCTGCCCACCTAACCTTAACTTTTGCCCATTCCTTCCATCTCTTCCTTTATCTAAGTCTCCTCTTCCATCTTTATCCCTTCTGCCTCCTACATATACCTCCTAGTTTCACTCCCTTAGTTTCTACACTCCCCCCCCCCCCTAGCTTTACCCACTAGCTTCCCCCTTCCCTTAGTTCACTCCCTCTTCTACCCACTGACCTCTCCCTCTACTTTCTCCCCCCCCCCCTCTAGTTTTACTCTCTTACTCCTCCCCCATACCCTCTCTCCCCCCCCTCTACCTTCACCCACTTATCCTCTCTCTCTCTCCTCTCTATTTTCAGGTGAGGAGAAAATATCAGAGCTGTGAGACAAAGAGAGAGTCCGAGGGAGACGAGGGAGGCGATGGAGACGCGGTGAGTTCATTGAGAAAAATGCAGAAGGGTATGAATGAGACGGAATCGTAAGGATGGGCGTAAGCGATGCGTCTCGATGGGATATTCGGTGGAATTCAGTTTGGG